TCTTTGAACCTGTGTAGAGCTCCTCTACTGGATAGATAAGAGAATTTGGGTACTCGGTTTCACCCATTCTCTTAAGAGTTGAGAAGGCAAAGGTTACTTGACTTCGCTCGCCTCCTCGAGGTTGTACTCCATAATCGAGCTGGTTACTGGTTTTCGCCTGCTCTTTGTTCACACTTCTGAAGCACTTGAAGTATTTGCATTCCTTGCATTAAGTTAACTACTATGATTCACCTTCTTAATGCCATCGAACTTCTGGAATGCAAGAAGTTTTCACCCCAACTTGGAGTAAGTCTCTAATAGTTTTGGTCGCCTTTGGAATTGTACTATCTTCTCCATCAACCTGGCCGCCTACTTCACTGAGTAGCAAAGGTACAGCACCGCGTATTGCCTACTTTGTTCCTTGGTCATGCACTCTTGCATGACCCGAAGTCCTTCATTTTCGGCTATCTTGATGAGAAGCTCGTTAACACTGGTCTTACGAAGTTCCTTGGCCTCTGCCTTTCAGCCTTATCTTAGTACTTGGAGTTTGCCTCTGCATACTCCACCTCCTCAGCCCCTTTCACAACTAAGTGCTCTTCCTCCATGAGAGCAAGGGATTAATGACTTTCACGGAAGTCCCGCCTCTACAGTACCATGGCGCTGTCATGCCCATGGCTCTACTATCCGTCGCCTCGTATCTGCATCCCTTTTCTTCACGATCAGTAAATATGTCTCTGTGGCACTCTTCCAAGTCCACCTCCATTCTAACTAATGCTTGATTTTGGGTAGCTAAGTCACTCTAGACTCGTCGTCACTTCCTCGTCCCTTTCGACCCCTTGCTTTAACACCTTTGTGTTCTCCAAGCAGCTCCCTTTGGTCGATGGAAAAACAGACTGCAACTCTCATGCATGGCCTCTGCCATCATGTTATAGGATTTGCACCGATTATATTCTCCTTAGCTTCCTTGGTAGCAACATTCGTTTACTCGACCTTGTCCTCTAACTTGCCGGGCTCCCTTAAGCGAATATGGGCTATGGAGCAGTCTAACTCTCCAGCTGCTTTGATCATACCTCTGCATGATCAAGTCCCTCCCATGGGACTCACTAGTACTTGTATTCGAACTTTTCCCTCGGTAGAACATAGCCCCCATATACTGATAACCAAGGCTTTCATCTGATGCAAGATTCAATGCACACACGGAAGACCCGCCTCTGCGGTACCATGGCCTTCAATCCTTGAATACATAGCCCTTCTTGTCATCATGTTGTTCACCGAAGTAGAGCTTCCAGTAGCTCTCGATCATACCTCCGTATGATCTAGTCCCTCACGGGACTATGTCGTATGTATCGCATTACCACGAATTATTCTACCATGATCCGCTGCACCATGTCGCCTCCTGGTGACATCTCCATTGCATTCTGATCCTTGTGGGATGAACTCGAATTGTGATCCCTCTGTGTGTGGCCTCTGTCAATACATCGTAGGGTCTCTTCCACCTTCGATTTTGTTCGTTCCTTTGGCAATCGACCTTCATCCATCTGCTCTTGGGTCACACCTAGATGAAGCACCACTCTAGGACAGTCCGTCGCCTAGTAGCTCCCGAAGTCCACCGACTTCGCTGAAAATGGTGCACCATTGTCTAGATCCTAGGCCTCTGCCCCTACCAGCACAATCTTTACTGTGCACCGCTTCCTTCATGGCAACTTGAATAGCAACACTGTGGCATATTCTTGAAGAGTACCCACCTTCGCGTCCTCTTGCCCTGTGCTAAGGCCTTTTGAACCCAACTTCGCCTCCGTAAGTTGAGTCGCCTTAGTTCCTCCATCAAATGCTTCTCCAAGATAAGGTGCATATGCCCAAAAGCTCCCTTCGTCTTTGGCACCATGCAAGATGAGTCCGCTTCGTTAGAATGAAGAACCCATGGAACAACATGATCCTGCTCTTGCCTCTTCAAGAGTTCATGTCCTTGACCTCTGTCCAAGGAAAGCATTGTGTCTCCGCTCCATATTCCATCTTCTATGGTGGCTCCCTTCATGCGGCTTGAGTACTTCGTCAAGTTACACCCAAGTTGCTCCGCTCCTCGTTTTTGCATTAAGTTGATGGTGGCCCTCGCGCCCACCATTCCACGGGTCAGCCCTCCCTTGAGTCAGATCTCCATATCGACTCTAAGTATGTCTTCATTTGTGTTGCTTTGGGTTGCTCTCCCACTTGATCTCGTAATGCATCCACCAATGCATTCTCTCAAGCAAGATCATGCAACGACTCCTCGCCGCTCGCTCGGTCCATTGAGCTTCGTGGAGTTGTTGTTTGTTGAGGTACTCCTCCTCAACATGTGTGGTCTGTTGCACATGATTCTCCCTCTAGAGAAATCAGGATCTATCCGGCCTGGATAACTGTCTCATTGAAGCAACATCTCTCTTCGTTTCGGAGACCACCATCCCCTTGGACTACTCTGATTTGCTGAACAAACTGTGCATTGTTCTGCCTCCTGTGAACGCACTTGCTAGATTGTGACTCTAGGTCAATACAGCCCCCGTTGCACTACTTAAGGCCTAGCAATATGCTGAACTCACTACACACTTCAGCCTCCTACGGACGTATCCTTCATATACCGAAGAGAAATTTTCAATGCTCCATGGCACCGAGTTTCGGTCGCCTTGGAATGGCCGCGAATATTCCATTGTCCACATACAAGCCTATACATAAGTACTAAATTCTTCGAGTTAGCAATTCCTCTCACCTCTCTGAGCTTTGCACAACTGTTTCGGTAGCTGGGCAACTCATTCCACCTTGCATGGTCTCATCCTTTACTAAGCTCCTCGCTTGCCTTGAGCACCATCAAGTATAGTTGTCAACGTCGAGCCGTAGCTCGAACTCAACCATCCCAACCTTTGTGCGCTCCGTATTCTTCCAAGCTTGTTTGTTCTTGTGGTGCCTCTTGCGCGAAGGGTTGGTCATTCCTCTGAATGTCAATCTCAGATGCCTGCTCCTCCGAGCGACTCCTTTTCCCTATATCTCCATGCTCGTTTTCCCCCAAACGGTCGCGCGTGTGCTGACTACCCTCAACGCAACCCCGCTAGGTCCCCCACGTTTACATGCCAAGTATTTCTATGAGTGCTTATCCCGCTCTGATACTATCTGTCACAGACTTAGCTAGTTTTGCCTAAGTCGTGCGGTACCCTTGCGTGTCAATCCGTAAGGGTCAGCCTCCCCGAAGCCTCCCATGGTCCCTTAGGACCCATAAAAGAGAAAACGGGTTAGAGAAAACTCCTCACTCGAGATCCACAAGCAAACATTTCTGAAAACACTTCATAGACAATGCAAATTACAAACATACTTTACAAGTTCTAAACAGTTGTACAACAAAGGGTCAAAATGGTTCACTACAGACCGAAAATCTCTCACAAGTGTCCACATGATACAACCTTTATTTACAAGCCTAAAGCGGTCACCAAACCTAACTAAAATGAGACTATTAAGCCTTCTGCCGTTCCTCTACATGCTGTGCAAAGCATGAACATACCAAAAGACACAGACATACATAAGCATTACATCAAACATCCTGTTTAGAAGTTTGTCCGTGATAAAACGTCCGGACTTCCGACGAACTCTCGAACTCTCGAACTCTCGAACTCCAAATGAAATCGTATTTTTGACTCCGGTACTCCATTTTGCTTTATGCCTTGCTATCGTAGTTAATCCTGCACATGTAAAAATATACTTTGATCTAAACAATTAATACTAAGCATGAATCATGTTGTCTGGCATGTCATTGGTCCATCGACGCTTCGTCCGATTCTTCGGCGCATCGTCCTCTCTTGCGGCCTATTGCCCAATCGGTCAATTGACTCCGCAACTCCGATATCCTTAGCGTAATATCTGCTCTTCTTGGCCTGATGCCCGAATCTATGGCCCGAAGCCTTTTGTTGATACGTTGACCGATCCTCTGGCTCGACATCCAATCTTCTGATATGTTCCACCGGCCAACATGATTCTTCTTGCTTTAATTGTCTCATCCTGATCGAAGCATCCTACGTCACTAAAAACACAAATCAAATCATAAATACTTATCAATTGGTTTCATCATACATTCAACTATATATATATATATATATATATATATATATATATATATATATATATATATATATATATATATATATATATAAGTCCATTTTCCAACAGTAAATAATAGCTTATTCGATACTACCGACCACATATCAACAACAAATACAAGCATTAAACTCAATAGTGAATTTTTTAGAAAAATCTATAATTTTAAAAATTTCTTATAGAGCACCTTTGGTCCCATGAAAAGATTGTTTTACCTCTATCTTCGTTCTACATCGTCGCTTCCTCTTCTTGGCATTGTCATCTTTGTTGCTTTCACCATCGCCCTTGCACCTTTGTCGAGCCTTAGTAATTACTTTCTCTACCATTTTCTCAGATCAAACACATCGCCTATAATCCTCGCACGAGGAAGGAAGGGGCATTAGGGTTGTCATCAGCTTTGCTAATCTCATCGGCCTTACCCTTGCACACCTCATATAACCCTGAGGATCGTCGTCGCCTCCTTCCTCATGTAAAGACTATTAGTAGTTAGCCAAAGAGGAGGAGAGGCATTTACTAGGATTCGGCAAGAGTGACATTGGTCATCTTTCTGCACGATCGGACCTATACCACAAGTGATAGAAAATTATTCGAGGTTGATAGTGATATAATGTTAAAACGTTATTCAAGAATTTGAGCTATCTGAAAAAATTCTTAAAATTAAGTTTTTGTTTCGAGAATTCCCCCTAAATTCGGATCCGCATTGTTCTTTTTTGACATGCTGGGTTTCTTTCACACGTGTGCGTTAAACGTGTCTCGCGTTGATGGGTGCGGCCGCGTGCTTCATAACCGACCTTTCCTGAGTCCGCATCCGTAAATTGACCCACTCATCTATCAACCCACGCTAAAGTCCAAATCAGTCCCCAAATAAAATCCACCCGTTGGCCACAAGCCCTTCCCGGAGATTTCCTTTACCCCGTCGGCCCCACATTTGCGATATGCGTCCTTGCCATCCCCAATCCCCCGTGGCCGTCTCCCTCGCCCCTTGCCGACCTCCTCATCCCCATCAACCAATCTCTTCCCGGCTTCGAGCTCTTCACCTCGATTCTTGTGCGGCTTCGCGCTCTGGATGGTTCGCGCTGGCGATTTGGTTGCTGGGATCTATGTCTAGCTCTGCCTCTGATGTGAGTCGCGCTGCCTCTCATCGGGTTGCGTCCGGCGTGGGTGGTCCTTGGAATGTTGGCGCCGCGGGATTCGCTGGGATTGGTTCTTCCGCAGGTTTGTTGCGGAGCTAGGCTCGGGTGCCCTTGTAAGGTAGGAGATGCAGGCCGAGGTCGGCGTAAAAGATTGTTTCTTAGAATTCTTTCGGATGAGATTCGGGCGAGGAGATGGAGGTGTGGCGCGTCCATGCCCCCGGTCGGAAACAATAGGCCTAGCTTGAACGCTGATTTCTTGAGCTCCGCCAAGGGAAGCGTCAAGGCTCAGAAGATATTGGTCTCAGGGCAGCTAGCGGACGAGTTGGTAGGCGAGGAATCGGCGTCTCGGACGGTGCAATTGGCGTCTAGATTCACTAGCTACCAAGAAGATCCTTTGGTTGATAAGCTGAGGACGCAGCTGGGGGTGATTCATCCCATACCTTCTCCGCCGATTAATAGGAACATCATCGGCTTCTTCGTGTTCTTTTTCTTCATCGGGGTCGCCTTCGACAAGGTTTGGACATCGAGGAAGAAGAACAAGTCGCAACGTGATGTTAAGAATGGCACATGGCCTCAGGTGCCGACTAGCTTCTCTATTTTCTTTGAGAAGGACCTTCAGAGGAAAGAGTCTGTCGAATGGGTGAACATGGTTTTAGGAAAGTTATGGAAAGTTTATAGGTCTGGCATTGAGAATTGGATTATTGGGTTGTTACAGCCAGTAATAGATAATCTTAAGAAGCCTAGTTATGTGCAAAGAGTTGAAATTAAGCAGTTCTCACTTGGTGATGAACCACTATCTGTCAGGAATGTTGAGAGGAGAACATCCCGTCGTGTTAATGACTTGCAGTAAGCTTTTCCTTGTTATCTTTAGAAAAGGTTATTCTTGTTGTTTTAGTTACTGGATTTGATTTAACTAACTCATGAATAGTATATAGTTTTTATTCTGTAGCTTAATTTAAATAACTTTGATGTATGGTAGACATGGATGGAAGTAGAGATTTTATGTGAAGGGACTGGTTTGTCAATTTTGGGACATGAAAACGGTATCAAGTGAAAGTGATGGTGGCTTGTTATCTTATATGAATTTATTAATTTCCTTGTTTCTAGTTAACTATTACTTTGTTTTGGCATGAGGAATGAATTTCTGAATATTGCATTGTGGTAAATGTTCGGATCATGAAACATAAATATGGTCAGTGTAAACTTCATTAGCTATTATTTATTAAAAGTTTGACATTTAATACATGTGATAGGTATATGTGCCCATCCACATGAAACTAACAATTTGTTCTCCTGCCCAACATGGCTATGGCTTCACAAAGTATTGTAATATATTTTAACTCTTTATTCCAACACTAACAAACATTTTCTGATATCTTGCACATCTTCTTTATAGTAATTGATTACATGCAGTTGATTTTCCCCAAAGTTATAATTGTTGTCTAGAATCAGATCTCTTTGATCTAACATTGATCATAATGGGGAATGGTTACTATGGTTTGACTGGCTCTTGCCATTATTTTATGTATGCATCTATCATGCTGTCTTACCACACAGCTCGGTGTGGTTTGTATCATTTTACCAGTTTCTTAAGAGTCAATTTTTGAAGTTCATCATGTTCTAAGTTATGCCACAATATTATTGTTGCATGTTATGTAATATCCTTATTTTGTATTCTGTGTAGCAGTATCTCAAAAAAGAACATTGTTTTATACTTTTATCTGAGAATATATACACTTTTCAATCTCAGGTATCAGATTGGACTTCGTTATACAGGTGGTGCTAGGATGTTGTTGTTGCTGTCCTTGAAGTTTGGGATCATTCCCATTGTCGTACCTGTTGGCATTCGTGATTTTGATATTGATGGAGAGCTTTGGGTTAAGTTACGGTTGATACCAACTGAACCTTGGATAGGAGCTGTATCATGGGCTTTTGTTTCCCTTCCCAAGATTAAGTTTGAGCTCTCCCCATTCCGTTTGTTCAATCTTATGGGTGTGTTCTGCTTTTCTTTTCCATATATGCTTGTATTTTTGGTTTGATCAGCTGCTAGTTTACGTTTTTGGTTTAATTATCCACCTCTGAAATATATAAAATATGGAATTTGACTGCAAGATCTATTATGTCTTCAGTTTTTTATCCTTATGCATGGAGTAGAATCAGGTTATAGATTAAAACTTTATGCTTGCATGACTGACATGTCTATCTTATCTTTGCCTGTAAGCAATGCCAGAGACTTGACATTTAAGAAAGGTTAAGGTTTTTGACTGGTTTGAATCAATTATCTTGAACTCGGTAATGGAACTCTGAAATTACTACAGGATCTATTATCTGAAAATGCTTTCTAGTATGGCCCCTTCGGTCCTTCAAATTTGTTGTCACGGATTCTGCAAGATTATTCTCTTCAGAGCTTGCTTTGCTCTGAAGTACTGTGCCTTTTCATATAATTCTTTAGATTTGTTCTTATCTAGTATCCGGAGATCCTTTCTTTTGTTTAAGCATTGGATGTAATTTATGTACATTTGGAAGATGATCTTCTAAAATAATCATTCTTTTAATTGGGACATAACTTTCTTCCCTGATCAGTAACCTTGAGATCAGGATTAGTGACATGGTATTTCTGATCCTACAACTTCATTCATGTGTAGTTTGTCTGACTAATTATTCTTGTTCTGTAGTTAGATTGGCATGTCAAACCATTTTTTATGCTGTCTTGGAGTAAAAGTGCTTCGTTTCAAAACCCCTTCATGTGCTCTTAATTAAAAAAATTATTGTACCTTCTTAACTTTTCATGTTGTTTTACACGTCAATCTAAATTTAGTTGTCATCTGCATCAAAGTTATATCAATATTTAGAAAATTATATCTGCTTTGCTAATTTTGACTCAAATGTCTTTTGCATGTGTTCACCAATCATTGCATCCAGCGATTCCTGTTCTCTCTCTGTAAGTATATTCATCCTTCATTAATATTCGTGTAATATTTGAATGCCAATATATGTGAATTTGCTCTTCCTTTCATTTTAGGGATGCATTTCATGGCAAGTATTGCTATTTCTGTGAACATCATGCATCAGTAGGCATCTTAGAATCCTGTTCCAAGTAAACTGTTCACCGTCAAAATTAGTTGTTTTTAATATAATATTATTATATTATGTAAAATTCGAAGAGGTTTTTATGTTATTATTTTTTTGGAAACAACTTTCAGGAATTTAATATAAGGATAGAGTGGTTGTTTCAGGATATCTGTACTCTTGCATCTTGAACTGGTAAGCCTTGTTTAGGATTTAGTCTGTTCAAGGATGACTTCTTAGTTATATTCACTGTGGACAAAGTTGGGAGAAAACCTGTCCTAGATTTATAGCTCATGTTCATGCAATTAGCTGATGAGGACTTCTGCATGGAGAATAACCAGTATCTAGGGATGTTTATGTCTCATAGTTCGCAAATTAAGGGCAATTACTCCTTCAAAAAGATTGGTCTCGTCTCCTTGCAAATGCAGCAGTAATCCTCAAGAGGATTCTGTAGCTTTGCACTTATTCAAGATATTAAAACTAGAGTACCCCTTATTTGAATTGCACTAATAATATTTAATATATGGATTATGGCCTCTCCATACTTAGTCTTGCCCAATTACCATAGTAGATTTGAGTTATTTAAAACCTTGCACAAGATTGACTGTGAAGCATACTGAATTATGATGAATATCTGCAGAATGAAAATTCATTATGATGAATTAGTTACTATACCTCCGTTTTTTGTTCTTCAGTTTTGTGTCTTTCATCCTGTGCATATTGTTTCTTTCCTCATTATTGACACCTTATGCTGTTTAATGTGCACCCAAGGTAGTTTTGTATAGTGCATATTATTTTCTTTTCCCCAGTGCCTACACCTTGTGTTGTTTAATGTGCATTCAGATTTGTACTAGCAAAAAGAAGTACATCAGATTGGACTCTTCTTTCAGGATAATTTATTAGTTATATATTTGTTTGATTCTGCTTGTACTCGTTGCAAATATAATGCCTCCAAGTATTAAAACGTGGCTTCTGACTAGGTTCCTGACAAAGCTTCTTACTGAAGATCTGCCTCGCCTTTTTGTGCGCCCTAAAAAGATTGTTCTCGACTTCCAGAAGGGGAAAGCACTTGGTCCTGTTCCAGTCAATGTTAAAACAGAAGAAATTCAGGAAGGAAATAAAGATTCTGTAGGGGAGCTGTCAGTGACCTTAGTCGATGCTCGTAAACTTGCTTATGCTATATTTGGTATTTAGCTTTTTACCTCTTAATTTGCTTCTAATAATCTTCTTCATTATATTGAGAAAGTTGAAAATTTGAACTTGGTTATAAATAAAAATTAAAATTACATTTATATTGGCTATTATGTATATATATATATATATATATATATATATACACACACACACACACACACACACACATACACACACACACACACACACACACACACAC